AAAGTAACACCAATCACTGGAATTGTTCCCCCTGGTTCAGGATCAGAAGGGCTGAGGCGCAGAGCGTCACAACAGCATTGTTAATGGACGGATGGACCATGAACGCACCATTCATCACTTTCATGAACCAGAAAGATCAGTGTGAATCTGCCCTGAGGCATAACACACTTTCAGGAAAAGTCACGGACTGGGAGACTTTAATATGCTATTGAAAAAAAGTTACATACAATAAAAAACAGCTCTGGGTCAAATTGACCCCGTTGGCGGTTCTAGTGTTAAACAGGTGAGAAGTTAATGTACACATTATTTTCAACAGAAGACAAAAGCAGTGTTTTCTTATTTCTGAGTGACAAGTTGCTCGACATGGATCACCTGGATAAAATGATGACATTACATTTAGTTTCTAACACTAGCAGTTTGCTGTTGTTGTGACTCCTGGGACAGGATCAGAAGGGCTGAGGCGCAGAGCGTAACAAGGGGAGGGCTGCACCTGTCACGGATGGACCGTGAACGCACCATTCATCACTTTCATGAACCAGAAAGATCACAGTGTGAACCTGCCCTGAGGCTCTCTGTCCCTCCTCTCCAGCTCTCTGACTGACGGTGTCACAATCTAATACTCTACTTTTCATATTCATGTATCTGTCATCTCCACACAGACAAAACACTATAGACTAAGCCTTTGTGTTTGTAGATGTATTCAACAGCTAAGTGAACTGAGCAGTTTATTGCATTGTTTTCATGCATTGATTATAATAATATCCATCAAATATGTCACTTAAAGGTCGTCAGGGCCAGGGCAGTGGTACAAACAGTACTCAGATCTGTTACAGGTCAAAGTCTTGCATTCAAAATTGTACTTAAGTAAAAGTACATTAGTATTGACTTGAAAATACTGCACACTATCCCATTTCTGAATTATATTACATCACTGGATTGTGAGTGTTGATGCATTCATGTGTTTGTTAGAGCTGGGAAAGGAGGAGCTAATTGTAATCACTTGACATAGTTCTGCTGGATATCTAACCCCATAATTACATGTCAAGATGCCTGTATTAGTTACTTTGTATTTTATATTAGCTATAATAATCTGAATCTGTAAAGTCACTCAAGCAACCAAATAAATGTCTTTCATACAAATATATGTGTCCCCAGTGTGTAAGGGAACTCATAAAGTGTCAGAAAATAAAACCCTCGCTCTTGTCCTACGTACCCAAATCTCTAAAAACGGGGGTGCAACGGAGCTGATCCAGATTTGCCTCCGATATCACGTACATTACGTGATATCGGAAATGTGCACCCACAGCACATATCAGAAACGTTGCTAACAGAAACAATGCGCAACGTGTTTTGCACGTAATATGGTCTTCTTTGTTTACATTAGCAAGCATCGCTACTCAGAACTAACCTGTACTGGAGAGTATGTGTAAAAAAGCAGGAAATAAAAAAAGGAATTTACCTTCTGGTAAACCCGCAAGAGAAAAAGCATTTGAGCTCCGTACTGTTTCAGAAATAATCCTTGATGTGGTTTGGAACATGATATGGCGTTTAATCACAACAGCGTTTAGATGAGAATCTGGGTAAAATTCTCCTGCATGAGCTCTCCTCTCCTCTCCTCTCCTCTCCTCTCCTCTCCTCTTTTTTTTATTTTTTTTTAAAGCTACTGACCCAGAATCAGCACTTCTCTAAGAGGGCTGAAACAGAGGGGTATGAGGCATGGTTAGAATGCATGATCTGTTTGGTATTTTGAGTAAAACACTTCATAGACATGTTTTTATATATCTGAGACCTATATGCCTAAAAATAGTAGGAGACCTTTCATGTACACATAACTTTCCACGGACACTCAAAGCAGTGTTTTCTTATTTCTGAGTGACAAGGTGCTCGACATGGATCACCTGGATGAAATGATGACATTACATTTAGTTTCTAACACTAGCAGTTTGCTGTTGTTGTGACTCCTGGGTCAGGATCAGAAGGGCTGAGGCGCAGAGCGTAACAAGGGGAGGGCTGCACCTGTCACGGATGGACCGTGAACGCACCATTCATCACTTTCATGAACCAGAAAGATCACAGTGTGAACCTGCCCTGAGGCTCTCTGTCCCTCCTCTCCAGCTCTCTGACTGACGGTGTCACAATCTAATACTCTACTTTTCATATTCATGTATCTGTCATCTCCACACAGACAAAACACTATAGACTAAGCCTTTGTGTTTGTAGATGTATTCAACAGCTAAGTGAACTGAGCAGTTTATTGCATTGTTTTCATGCATTGATTATAATAATATCCATCAAATATGTCACTTAAAGGTCGTCAGAGCCAGGGCAGTGGTACAAACAGTACTCAGATCTGTTACAGGTCAAAGTCTTGCATTCAAAATTGTACTTAAGTAAAAGTACATTAGTATTGACTTGAAAATACTGCACAATATCCCATTTCTGAATTATATTACATCACTGGATTGTGAGTGTTGATGCATTCATGTGTTTGTTAGAGCTGGGAAAGGAGGAGCTAATTGTAATCACTTGACATAGTTCTGCTGGATATCTAACCCCATAATTACATGTCAAGATGCCTGTATTAGTTACTTTGTATTTTATATTAGCTATAATAATCTGAATCTGTAAAGTCACTCAAGCAACCAAATAAATGTCTTTCATACAAATATATGTGTCCCCAGTGTGTAAGGGAACTCATAAAGTGTCAGAAAATAAAACCCTCTCTCTTGTCCTACGTACCCAAATCTCTAAAAACGGGGGTGCAACGGAGCTGATCCAGATTTGCCTCCGATATCACGTACATTACGTGATATCGGAAATGTGCACCCACAGCACATATCAGAAACGTTGCTAACAGAAACAATGCGCAACGTGTTTTGCACGTAATATGGTCTTCTTTGTTTACATTAGCAAGCATGGCTACTCAGAACTAACCTGTACTGGAGAGTATGTGTAAAAAAGCAGGAAATAAAAAAAGGAATTTACCTTCTGGTAAACCCGCAAGAGAAAAAGCATTTGAGCTCCGTACTGTTTCAGAAATAATCCTTGATGTGGTTTGGAACATGATATGGCGTTTAATCACAACAGCGTTTAGATGAGAATCTGGGTAAAATTCTCCTGCATGAGCTCTCCTCTCCTCTCCTCTTTTTTAAAATTTTTTTTAAAGCTACTGACCCAGAATCAGCACTTCTCTAAGAGGGCTGAAACAGAGGGGTATGAGGCATGGTTAGAATGCATGATCTGTTTGGTATTTTGAGTAAAACACTTCATAGACATGTTTTTATATATCTGAGACCTATATGCCTAAAAATAGTAGGAGACCTTTCATGTACACATAACTTTCCACGGACACTCAAAGCAGTGTTTTCTTATTTCTGAGGGACAAGGTGCTCGACATGGATCACCTGGATGAAATGATGACATTACATTTAGTTTCTAACACTAGCAGTTTGCTGTTGTTGTGACTCCTGGGACAGGATCAGAAGGGCTGAGGCGCAGAGCGTAACAAGGGGAGGGCTGCACCTGTCACGGATGGACCGTGAACGCACCATTCATCACTTTCATGAACCAGAAAGATCACAGTGTGAACCTGCCCTGAGGCTCTCTGTCCCTCCTCTCCAGCTCTCTGACTGACGGTGTCACAATCTAATACTCTACTTTTCATATTCATGTATCTGTCATCTCCACACAGACAAAACACTATAGACTAAGCCTTTGCGTTTGTAGATGTATTCAACAGCTAAGTGAACTGTGCAGTTTATTGCATTGTTTTCATGCATTGATTATAATAATACATATCCATCAAATATGTCACTTAAAGGTCGTCAGGGCCAGGGCAGTGGTACAAACAGTACTCAGATCTGCTACAGGTCAAAGTCCTGCATTCAAAATTGTACTTAAGTAAAAGTACATTAGTATTGACTTGAAAATACTGCACAATATCCCATTTCTGAATTATATTACATCACTGGATTGTGAGTGTTGATGCATTCATGTGTTTGTTAGAGCTGGGAAAGGAGGAGCTAATTGTAATCACTTGACATAGTTCTGCTGGATATCTAACCCCATAATTACATGTCAAGATGCCTGTATTAGTTACTTTGTATTTTATATTAGCTATAATAATCTGAATCTGTAAAGTCACTCAAGCAACCAAATAAATGTCTTTCATACAAATATATGTGTCCCCAGTGTGTAAGGGAACTCATAAAGTGTCAGAAAATAAAACCCTCTCTCTTGTCCTACGTACCCAAATCTCTAAAAACGGGGGTGCAACGGAGCTGATCCAGATTTGCCTCCGATATCACGTACATTACGTGATATCGGAAATTTGCACCCACAGCACATATCAGAAACGTTGCTAACAGAAACAATGCGCAACGTGTTTTGCACGTAATATGGTCTTCTTTGTTTACATTAGCAAGCATCGCTACTCAGAACTAACCTGTACTGGAGAGTATGTGTAAAAAAGCAGGAAATAAAAAAAAGGAATTTACCTTCTGGTAAACCCGCAAGAGAAAAAGCATTTGAGCTCCGTACTGTTTCAGAAATAATCCTTGATGTGGTTTGGAACATGATATGGCGTTTAATCACAACAGCGTTTAGATGAGAATCTGGGTAAAATTCTCCTGCATGAGCTCTCCTCTCCTCTCCTCTCCTCTCCTCTCCTTTTTTTAAATTTGTTTTAAAGCTACTGACCCAGAATCAGCACTTCTCTAAGAGGGCTGAAACAGAGGGGTATGAGGCATGGTTAGAATGCATGATCTGTTTGGTATTTTGAGTAAAACACTTCATAGACATGTTTTTATATATCTGAGACCTATATGCCTAAAAATAGTAGGAGACCTTTCATGTACACATAACTTTCCACGGACACTCAAAGCAGTGTTTTCTTATTTCTGAGTGACAAGGTGCTCGACATGGATCACCTGGATGAAATGATGACATTACATTTAGTTTCTAACACTAGCAGTTTGCTGTTGTTGTGACTCCTGGGTCAGGATCAGAAGGGCTGAGGCGCAGAGCGTAACAAGGGGAGGGCTGCACCTGTCACGGATGGACCGTGAACGCACCATTCATCACTTTCATGAACCAGAAAGATCACAGTGTGAACCTGCCCTGAGGCTCTCTGTCCCTCCTCTCCAGCTCTCTGACTGACGGTGTCACAATCTAATACTCTACTTTTCATATTCATGTATCTGTCATCTCCACACAGACAAAACACTATAGACTAAGCCTTTGTGTTTGTAGATGTATTCAACAGCTAAGTGAACTGAGCAGTTTATTGCATTGTTTTCATGCATTGATTATAATAATACATATCCATCAAATATGTCACTTAATGGTCGTCAGAGCCAGGGCAGTGGTACAAACAGTACTCAGATCTGTTACAGGTCAAAGTCCTGCATTCAAAATTGTACTTAAGTAAAAGTACATAAGTGATACATCAAAATACTGCACAATAGCACATTTGTTTTATTATTATTTCGAGCAATTGAACATGAAAGATGTTATCTATGTGTTCTAAATGGTACTGAAATAAGAAATAATGTATTGAGGTAGGTATGACTTCAACTTTTTATCATACAGGGTCGTATTCTGATAGTTCATTATTAACTATAGCCTTTAAACCAGGGGTGTCAAACTCAATTTCATCGCGGGCTACATTAGCATTATGGTTGCACTCAAAGGGTCGGTTGTAACTATATAAATATACATATATAAATATATAATATATATAAAATAATGTATTATATGACATTATTGCTTCTGACTTGGATTATTATTGGATAGGATAATAACTTAGTAATTAACTACGTCTGAAAGGAGAAGTCCAAGACAAATAATTGCAAGTTTCTTCAGTGCGCATGTCACAAAACGAGATGCATTGTGGGACATGTAGTTCATGGGCAACCTGCTTCTGTAAAATGGCATGTAACCGTATAATAAACGTATTATATTCTTTGCAAGCTCTTGCGGACCACATCAAATTTAGTCGCGGGTCGGATTTGGCCCCCGGGCCTTGAGTTTGACACCCCTGATACATTAAATAAGTTATGGATCATTTTGCAGAGCTGGAATGAAAACGACATCCAAATGTGAAATTAGCTGACCTGTTGTAATAGTATTTCAAACCATATATTATAAAAGGGGAACCATTTTTTAATTATTTTCACCGGAGAAAAATATTGTTACCATCTAAGAAGTGTTCAGTGACATTGACTTTCTAACACTACACTAGCAGTTTGCTGTGTGTGTGACTCCTGGTTCAGGATCAGAAGGGCTGAGGTGCAGTGCGTAACAAGGTTGGGCTGCACCTATCACGGATGGACCGTGAGATCACCAATCATCACACTCATGAACCAGAAAGATCACATTGCTAACATGGCGCTGAGGCAGACTGTTTCTCCTCTCTAGCTCTCTGACTCACGGTGTCACATTTGAAATATTCAATATTAGAATACGTGCCTTAAACCATCTCAAGTTACAAATAGAAAACAGTGTAAAACCCGCCTGTGTGTTTATATTTGTATTTAATAGCTAAAAAGGCAAAGCCTTATAAGCTATCCGGAGAGGTGCATTGTGGGAGTGCAAACTGTAAAATGAAGCAACAGTGACATCCAGTGGTGTGGAAGGGTAACTGCACCCTATGATGTTCGTGTATATATAAAAAAAAGTAACTGCGGGTTTTCAATACAAATGCAAATAATAATTATTATTTCATATTTGTTATGTTAATTTATTTCATTTCTTTTAGAGTCATGTTTAAATCACTTGTCGAAAGCTTTTCAAAAAGCTTTTTATCAATGCAAGCACATCATTTAGTCATGTCTTATCCTTTTCATGGAATTGCCTTCTACCTTTATATTAACTTGAGGATTTAAAAACAAATGTTTAACCTGAATGAGAATTGTATTTCATTGCAGTCCTGAATATTGTTTTATTTAAGTGATCAATAATAACTCTGTTTTTCACATACACTGTAATTGGAAGACTGCCACATTTTATTATTTTGGACTTTAATAAAATAAGTATTGAATCTGCATCATTATTATTATTATAATTGCATTACAGTTTTTTCTAAATGCTTTCTAAACACTAAGAGACCCTAAGCACTCGTTATTAAAAAAAAATGTACGTAATGTATCTCTAAAACTAAATAAAATACATATGTATACTATTAATATAGTCTGTTGCGACTATAATATGCATTACGTTGAATGACAATGTTGTATTAGATACATTGCATCTTTAAAGAAATTCTACAGGATGGAATATCTTATTACTATTATATTATACTATTATTATTATTACTATTAATACTCTGTACATACATAGTTTTCTTTTGTACCTTATATGCCGTCTTTAAACTAAACTCCCTAGTTCTGCATGTCGTTTCTTTCATATGTTTCTAGATCCTTCTTAACTCTTTAACACTCATTGAACTGTGAAGCATCTTGAGATTATGTTTTTAAAGTTTGCTTTTCAACTAAAGTGTATTATAATTATTTAATAATATATATGGGATTTTAGTTTTTTTTTAAAAACACAACACTTATTTAAGTTTCTTACCATATAGTTAATGTTGCGACTAATATTTAATATAAAAACTATGATCACTTTTAATTTAAATGGCTTCATTTTTCTTTCCACCAATATATATATTGGTTGTTCTTTGCCCTTACCGGTCTACATTCATACTTCTTGTTGTGACGTCTCTTTCATCAAATTCAAGTGTAAAAACAAAGAAAGTGACAGACTGGTGATTGAAAAAAACAGAGAAATGGTTTATTTTAGTAAATATTGTGAGCTTCTGTACAACACTGGAATCTGTAGTTGGCACTGTTTAAAGGGGACACTCCACACAGAAACAGAATTCACACACACTGTTGTCAGCTCTGTTTCAAGGAGGATTTTCTTTGTTTTTCTATGTTATGCTCAATAACCCCAAAACCCAGCAGCAGTAGCCTCTGGGACACATAGTACAAAAAGAAACGGGCAAAGAAAAAAAACAGAGAAATCAAAACAAAGGCACCAAAAAAAAAAAGCCACAACAGACAGAAGTCAGCCGAACAACTGAAAACTACACAGACATGCAACTCACATCGATTTACACTGAGCTATACATGCATGCAAAAACAACACTGCTCTGAACAGGGGCTCTCACACACACACACACACACACACACACACACACACACACACACACACACACACACACACACACACACACTTCTGTAAAATAGGAACGGCGTGTCGGCTCCTGAACAAAGAGGCTGCAGATTGTGTGTCAGAACGAGTATGTTATCAAAGACTGGAGAAGGACCGTTCACTTCAGGAGTCTCCATGGACTAGTATCAGAACGTGAAACACATTGCACAATATCAAACGGCAGATTTCAGAACAGCAACGCAGGTTCGAGAATAAAAACAAATGAACAAAACGTTGTGACACCCATGTTCTTTCAAACAGATGTTCGAGTCCCTTCAGGAGACATGGATCAGGCAACATGGCTGTTTAATGCTAATGGAGGAGTGGGCTTCTTGTTGGGAGGAGCAGAGGATTCTGGGAGATCTTCCAAAACCCCTGACTGAACTGTAAAAGAAAAAGGGAACATTTGTATAGAGCGGTGCAGTGTATTTTGTAGGCCAACCAGGAAGTTAGCATCACAAGGGCTTCAATGGGATTTTACAACATTTCAGAAAATAAGATCTGTGGCAAACACCCGTTTAGTTCCGCAGGATAATCTCCACATTTTAACAGCACCTCTATAATATTTTAAGTGTAAATGCTAAGGCTAGGCTATAAATAAACCTGTCCGCGCATCACCACTGCTAAGCTAAAGGCGACTAATGTTTAGTAGTTTAAAGTGTTAAGCAAACGCTGCTTTTATGATGTGTAAACACTTCAGAAGTTCACAAGGACGCACTTTATGGTGGTAGAAGAAAACGTGAAACTCCTAAACTTGTGTTTAGCACAGACCTTTCTCCAAGCATGTAACCAAGAGAACGTTGAAACCAAATGGAACTGGAAGTTGTTAAACGCTGAATCATTCCCAGGTGTTAGGACTGCACCACTCTACAGGGAGCTGGAACTGATTGCAAAGGTGGAAATCCCCAACACTACAAGGAGAGATTTGTCAGTCAGCAAAAATAAACAATAATAATAATCCTACATATCAACCAGATCCAGCGGAGTGCAGTCAGGACAGCTTCAGTCATTTTGGTTGAAATTGAAACTTCCTACAGCTAACTGGGTAATATACAGTGCACACAGAACAGAAGACGTGAAACGAATGAACAGATAATATACAGAGGAAACAAGGCGGTCCGTATGTGCCGGCTCATATCAACATATAAACAAAGAGTTAAAACTATACAGGGCGTCGATATGAAAGCAGAAGAAGAGATAAGAACAGGAAAGATTTTTTTATAAAAACAATACAAATCAACTTTTAACAGATGAACACTGGATCGGTTTGGTCCGTAGCAAAGCACATCTTGTGCTTGAGTCCAGCCAATCAGAGAACAGCGCCGCACACAGGGGGCGGGGCATAGCCACTGCTAGTTTTCTCCTCACGGCCCGTCCACACAGCGGCGTGCGTTGAAGCTTCCAACGCTTCTGCCCGTCACTTTTAGCCGAACTGCATTTTGGGAAGCGACGTGGAGCGTTGCTGGCGTTGCTCGCTTCAAAAGTTGAGCAATGTTCAACTTTTGACGCCCGCCGGCAAGCGTCAACGCACGCCGCTGTGTGGACGGGCCGTCACAGTCAGGACTGATCGGAACGGATCAATACAGCATCAGACGTCCAAGCGAAGCCACTCATTCAGACATTTTGGGGAACGCGTCAAGTCTTTGCTCACAGATAAGCACCTTAAAAGTTCCATATAAATATGTACACAAATGGTTCATAACACACTATCATTTAGTTATAATCTGAGTGTTGATTAATAAGTTAGTGAAAAACTTCTTTTCATTGCTTCTTCATTTTTATTTACTTAGAATACATTGTAGTGTGCTATAAACCATTTATTACGTATTTATTAAAGTGTTGAATAGGAGTTTTAAGTATAGTGTTACCCTCAACACAACCTGGACGTATCAATAACTGATATCTATCTTCTCATCTCACCTTTCTTTGTGTGACCTGAACTTATTCTCAGCAGAATCCATGAAACGTTTGTGTGAACATGTTTCAGCATCACCCTCGTTATCCAGGGCCTAGGACTCATGGAATTAGCTCGTTAGCATCATTAGCACTCCCACTGAAAACTAAATCTGTGCGGCGACCACAAGCGCTTCCAGTGAGAATCGGCTGACCAGAGGACAGCTAACGATGCTTACCGATGAAGCCGAATCAACACACCCTCTCCTGCTGAAACCTCAAGTCATTATGGGTAATGAAGGCATCGGCATCAACACAAATGGTGAAAGGATGGAAACAGAAAGTAGTCCGCATTCTCTGTTTTCTCCACGGTGCGCTTCAGACTTTATTCCACTCTTTCTGCGGTGCCCTGTAGGGGGGGGGGCAGGGTCAGTAAAATGCTGTGATTGGAGATGAGTTCTTCCTCTAATTGCAACCCAGTCACCGTTGACCTTGGATAAACACAAATGGAGACGATGGTTCAGCTTTCACTTCATCTCTAGGTTTCTGTCTTCCTGAAGACCCAACCCTTCATTAACCACGGCAGACCGGTCCGCCCCCCCCCCCAACAAGCAGTCTGACAAGGTTTCAGGAGAGGGGGGTTCCGTTTACTTCAATAGTTTCAGACCTGCTGCCACTCTGGAGGGGAGGATAATGCGATGGGGGACGTTTCCTGTTCGCTAGGAAGATCTCAAGATTGGGTCCTATCAGCTTGGAGAACATTTGTTTTCTGATTCGTTAGGTATTGCTACAAATATTCCAAAATTTAAAATCTATTATGTCAAATAACTTGGTCTTATTTGAGGTAATCACACCATTTTGTGTCTTGAAGAATCCTAATGGAACTTAACAACATCTGGACACTGATGATGATGATATATCATTGAATACAGGTGGAGCAGGTGGTGGTTCTCCTGTCTTGGGGGGGGGGGGGGGGCCTCCATAATGAAGTATTTTTCTTGTGTTGAAGGCGTTCCATGAAAGCAAGAGTTATGAATGATATCATCCGTCCCAGATGGATGTTTCAAATCACTTGTTCTTCACTGGGGAGTTTTGTTTTGTTTTTCAGAGGGTCTAGGCAGGTCCCAGTAAGACTTTTATGGGGTCCCGATCCTGGACCGGGTCTTCTGGTCTTAGGAGGTCTTGACCAGGTCGTAGACGTAGATGTGGAAGTCGTCGTCAAACTTTATGAAGTAGACCGAGGGCTTGGCCTCCACCTGGTGGATGACCATGCCCGAGCGCTTGCCTCCGTCCTCTTTGGCGTACTCCACCTGTTTGCCCACCAGACTGTCCACCACCTCGCCGGGCTCCCGCTCTGCCGCCACCGTGTCGTCTACACACACACACACAGAGAGAGAGAGAGAGATGTAAGCAGCTGGGAGGATAATCAACTCATGTAAAAACATCACTTATACAATCTTGTGACAATAGAGTGGTGCAGGAAGGATGCTTGTATCCAAAGCCACTTGCATTAAGTGGAGAAACCATAAAGATTAAACTCCGTACAAAAAGGAAAGTGCAGATATATTCACTCTATGCAAGTCATCACATTGGAAGTGCTAGTGAATTAGTTACAGGGCTTAAAATAACCTTTTGAAGTATTTGTCAGTTTGCAACGGAAGATATGCAGAGTTTCTGTAACTTAAGGCTCAAAGTCAATGTTTCATTTTAGTGAGTTTGTGGGAACATGCCTAAAATATGGTCTGTGGTTAACACAAGCTTTCAAAGAAATGTTCACGTTTGTTTTTACGACATAAAGTAAGTCAGGAAAAACCCACTGGTGAATGGCCGAAGCTTCTATGTGTCCAGAAAACATATATACACATATATATATATATATATATATATATAATATAATAGGTTTCTAACAAGTTACGCAACAACTTCAGTAAAGGCAGCTAATGATCGGAGTGATGTGGGTCTGTTATAGCGTTAGCTTTTTACTTCTGGTGGGGGCATTTACTCATCAACTATTAGAAAAGTGGTGTTTTTTTTATTATCCTGCTGAACAAAACATAATTACCATAAAGTGGTTAGTGTGTAATGTGGTGTCGCTCTGTGGTTGCATGTCTGCGGTTGGCCAAGTGTAAGTCCCATCAAAGCCGTTGCTGAAACCGGAAATGAGTACCCCAAAGTTTTATGTTAGAAATATATATTACGGGTCCCAAGCACATAGAAACTGCCGGATGCTAACTTACATATGTTGGGCAATTTGCACATTAAGCACATTTTGCGTTAATTAGTATTATAGCTAAAAAAAGACTTTTTGAGGGTTTTGAGGGTATTGAAGATACCGAGTCCATTTCTGAAATGTTCAGCTTCAAAAATGGCAGTTTTAACCAGAAGATTGCCATATTTGTAGTCCCTAGGGGCTGATTCTCAATCATTTAGATTTGAACTTGACTGGACAGATTGCTTATTTATTAGAAAAATAATTGTCCGCAGTAGAGATAATAATTTTCATCTTGTGCTCTCTATATACAATGGTCGCAACAAGACATTGACAGCCACACTCTATCTCCCCCCCCCCCTCACATCCGCAACCTCGGAGTCATCTTCGACAGTCAGCTCAAATTCAACCACCACATCAATCACATCACCAGGACCGCCTTTTTCCACCTCAAAAACATTGCCCGTCTCCGCCCATCACTCTCCTCCTCTGCTGCTGAAACCCTGATTCATGCATTCATCACTTCACGACTCGACTACTGCAATAGCATCCTCTACGGCATACCATCCAACCTCCTCAATAAACTCCAACATATCCAGAACTCTGCTGCCCGCCTCCTCACCCACACCCGCTCCCGAGACCACATCACTCCCGTCCTCCAGAACCTCCACTGGCTCCCCGTCCGTCAAAGAATCGACTTCAAAGTCCTCCTGATTACTCACATAGCCCTCAACAATCAGGCCCCCCCCTACCTCACAGACCTGCTGCACCACCACACCCCTTCCCCCTGCCTCCGCTCATCAGAAGCGAACCGCCTATCCATCCCCACCCGCATCAATCACCGGACCTGGGGGGACAGAGCCTTCTCCGTCGCTGCCCCCTCCCTCTGGAACTCACTCCCACAACCCATCAGAGACTGCACTGACCTCACCACCTTCAAAACACTTACAAAAACTCACCTCTTCAATCTGGCTTTTAATGTGTGATTGTTTTTGTATTATTTGACTTTAACTATATATTTATTTGTTGTTCCTTTATTTTATTTTATCTTCACTATATATGTAAAGCGTCTTTGAGCACCTGTAAAAGTGCTAACAAATTAAATCTATTATTATTATTAAGACAAAAAGTAAAAATATGGCAACTTTTCTGGTTAAAACTACAATATATCTTGAAAAAGGTCAGAAATGGACTCAATAACCACCAAAACCACCCAAAAAGTATTGTCCACAAAAGCTATAATGCCACTCATGCTAATTAACGCAACTTATGCTAATTTAGCAAATCGCCCAACATATGCAAGTTCGCTTCCAGCAGTTTCTCTGGGGACCCGTACTATACATTCCTAACATCAAACTTTGAGGTATCCTCATTTCCGTGGTGCACTATGCTGGTAACTAGACCACTACTCAGTGAAGTTATGGAGCTGAAGGGCTGACCACTGGTCCAGTAGAACCAGCTTCCACTCACTGGAGTCGGGCATGATGCGCAGGTCTCCCTCCTTGTAGTCGTCCAGCAGCTGGTACATGTAGAGCACGGGGTCCTTCTCGTAGGTGATGTAGAACCAGGCGGTCATGATGGGAGCGCGGGCCAGCACCATCCCCCTCCACTCCTCCTTCGGCCCGTCCTCCGTCTCAAACATGTGCTCCACCGCTTTGCCGATCATCGTCTCCGCCAGCATCGAGTCGCTCACACGGGCCGGGGCTAAACCAATCACAGGGAGGGGGTCAGTGTGACATCATCAGGTGGTCTGTGCTCAGGACATCAAAATACTAAACCGTGTTAGGAGCTGCAACTATTGGTCAATTCATCAATAACATAATTAAGAGAAATTCATGCTTTGTAATTGTGACCTGCTCTATCAAAATCAGGCACATCGAACCCAAAACACATTTTTGTTATATACACTGTTGGAAAGAGGAGATTCTTAACTTTCCAATGATCTCCAAATATTCAGCAAACACGTGTCAAACAATGTTTCCAGGAAACAATCCTGAGAGGAAGGCCTTCAGAGGCTTGTTAGCAGGCTGTCCCTCTCATAGCAGTCAGCAGATGGATGAAGGAGGTTCATGTGTCCTAATGATTAGGCTAAGGCTTTTTACTCGGATGAGGGAAAGTGAGGAAGAGATCTGGTGAGTGTTTTGGTGCGTGTGTATTTCCCGAGGAAACACACAACACACTCCGCCTGTTGTAAATGCTGCTGCCAGCAAGTGGCTCAGTTCGCAGCTCGAGCTTCAGCGCTGTGTTTATCGTCTGAAGCCACTGTCCCGCAGACTGCCGGGTCACTGTCAGACTGTCATTCAGTATTCCAGGGAGACGTAGGTATGTCACCCTGTCTTTACAAGCGTAAACATTTATTTATCGTCTGAATTTGGCAACACTTGTTCATATTCTGAAATAAATAATATTTTATCCGAAATCTTAAAGACCAAACTTTGTTTTGCAATATTAGTGCTAATTACCCTAAAATGTAATATATGTTCTATTTTTTTATATATTTTATTTACAAATAACTGTTTTGCAATCTGCTTTGATCAAATGTGTTAAATGTAATTTTTCATTTTTCATTGTGCAGATTGGTCCATTTCAGAATAATAGATATGATATGTTTTATAATGATTGATCATGAAAGTGTTCTCAAAGCTTGATTATATTTCACATCATTAATCCACATCTTTAAAGTACCTAAAGGTATTAAATACATGTAGTACACGATAAAAGTACACGACATACCTCTGAATTGTAGTGGAGTATAATACTCAAGTAAAGTACAAGTATGTCAATATTGTACTTAAGAACAATACTTGAGTAAATGTACTTAGTTACTTTACACCTCTGTATGTTAGCCCCCTCAGGCTGATGGAGTTATGGACGGTGTTCCTCACCCACTCTGTCGGGCAGCACCTCCAGCCCCACCACCCTCTCATCACTGTACAGCTCCAGGCCGTAGATGCAGTCGAAGCCGTCGTATTTGATCAGGTAGAGAGACGGGTTCACAGGGACCTGGTCCAGGACCGTCCCCTTCCACTGGGACGACTTACCTGAGGGAACACACACACACACACACACACACACACACACACACACACACACACACACACACACACACACACACACACACACACACACACACACACACACACACACACACACACACACACACACACACACACACACACACACACACACACACACACACACACACACACACACACACACACACACACACACACACACACACACACACACACACACACACACACACACACACACACACACACACACACACACACACACACACACACACACACACACACACACACACACACACACACACACACACACCACACACACACACACACACACACACACACACACACACACACACACACACACACACATTTATTAGCTTTTCAGAGATGCATCCCAACAAGACTGAGATGGATCACAAATTGTCAAATTGTTGATTATTGTGTTTTAAATCTCAGTAAACTGAATTTCTTCAAGGTTTGTAGGTTTGTCAGAGTAAAGACATTACAATTGTACAGACCAAACACTCCCCTTATTCCCTCTATTTTTACAATATCATTTGCATATTACCATAACATAGAATTTATATACAACTGTTTTGCAATCTGCTGTAATCTAATTACTAATATATGTTTTACATTTTCATAGTTATATAGGTTTTTTTTAATTCTTTTTTTCTTTCACATAAAACAGCTTTTGGATTGGGGCTTGTTTCTTTGTCAAGTTGTATTTGTTCCGTGTGTCCTAACAACAACTGAGAGCCCGGTGGAGTACTTTTATTTTTGAAAAATATACGTTTGATCTTGATCAGTTAATAGCTATAAGCCCCAGTAATTATCATAAAAAGCCAAGATACAATACATTTAGTGTTTCAAGAGCGGATGTCCAGTCCCCAGCCAGAAAAAACACGATTCTAATCGACTTACTGCCCTCCTTCCAGATGTGCTGGATCCTGCAGCCCACTATGTTCCTTCTGGGCGGAGACATAGTCTTACTGGGACCCACACTGGTCCTCTGTTTCCTACGGGGGGAGGGGGAGAAATATTTAGAGATATTTAGGGCTGGTTAATGTCACATATTCAGAATGTACTTAAATAAACAAACAACATAAAATAAACACAGTATGCACTGCTGTGTGTGATATTATTAACAATCCTAATAACTATAACGATATGCCTAATTCTAAATGACTGCTCCTGAAATGTATTGTTGTGATAATAATGTAATTAAAATCACGCCAGCACATAGACACCCTAGCCCTAAACTGGAGAATCAGTGATTTCAGTGAAGTACTTGACTGGTTATGACATGGATTTATTTCATCACTGGAGTTTTATGGAGTTATTAAATGTATTTTTTGGCAATATATTGCAGGCCTAAGCTCATATCTGGCCTCCAAAAACATTGTAAAAAATATATATTTTATAATTACATTCATCAGACTTACTTATGTGAATTCTTCTTTTTCATCATGTTTGCAGAAACGCCTGAATGTCCTGAAACAGAAGCACAAACATTTAGCATCCATCATAATGACAGGTGATGCGTTCAAGGACACTCTGAGGTCATGAGCACAATGATGTTTTAATTTGAAAAACGGACCATCGTTTCCATGACATCCTTGATTATCTTCTTCCTCTTTTTGTACTGTTGAAAGAAATCGATGTGTTATTTTCAAACTGACATTAGTGTTTTCAGTGTTTGATGAATCTTTGTACTCACCCCCGTCTGCTCGGGGGGGCCGCGGGGCCGTCGGGCTCTTGAATGGGGTCTTCATTCATCCACCTGTAAGGGGGGCAGCCAGCCAGGCCGCCGGTCCGGGCTAAAGGCTGGGTGTCGCTCTGCGGGACAGCAGGCCGGCGGGCGTGCGGGGGGAGTGAGGATAGAGGGAAGGGGCAGAGGGGGGGAGAAGGGTAGGGAAAGGAGGGAGGAGGTGGTGGGAAAGAAGGAGCACCAGGAATTAGGCCGGGCCCTGGACAGGCTGCATACAGGCCGGGTACAGACTAACAACCGGAGGCTGAGGCGACGTCACAGGTGACACGATGAGGAGTCAGTGTCTTCAGCCTGGGGGGGGGGGGGAGCAGACATGAATGTTAAACGTATTATTAATTATTCTCAAACCATTTTCATGTCTCTTTATACAAGATGGCCCCAAACCTTTGAAAAAACGATATTCTATTACTAAATGCTAACAGAGATCATTTTGTCCAGGCACGCCAGAGACAGTGGATTTAACCTTGTGTGTGTCTATGGACTCTGCTCTGATTGGTTAGCTGGCCGGCTTCTTTTGCTCAACTGCTTAGCCTATCACGTACAATGTGTCAGAGCTCTAGCCTATAGAAGTGCATGTGTTACATCGTGATGCAACTATGTTAAGGAAGTAAACAAAGGAGTCCAATGGAGGCGTTTCAAGGGGGGGGGAGAAAGGGAACACAGGGATTTTATCCCTTGCAGACCATTTACACACAAAAACCTATAATGCGGCTTTCAAACCAGCGCTTTTTCCTTTCTAGCTCAGAGCGGGAGCTTTTCTGGTTCAGCTCCGGTTTCCCTTTTCTGCTCCCGCTCTGTTCACACCGCCCAGCACCCGACTGGTGCTGCCGCTGCTGCGTCATGACGTCACCGTTTACATCGCTGATTTGCTCCCCAACGGCATTACGGCGCTCACAACAACAACGGGGAACTGCGTCGGGTCGATGATCGTGTTGCTTTTAATCACACGAAGCCAGAATAAATTGAATAACGACTTCTCCAACCTTATACTTTGCTCCAGAGTGCCGTGGTTCATTGTTTATTAATGTGTTTCTGCAGCATTTACCGACCGCTGCAGTGTTGGCTGCTCTTCCACGGGAGTTTATTCTCCTCCGTTAGCTCCCGGTTAGCTCACACTGCTGCGGCCGCTCTAAAGTATTCACTGTCCGACTCACACAAGCAGCTGATACATATCCCCAGTTCCCCTTAGCCTAAGTCAGGGGTGGGGAACCTCCGGCCTCCGGGCCGTATGCGGCCCGCGAGACAATTTGTTACGGCCCTCGAGGTAATTTATAAACACACGCAAAAAAGAAAAAAATGTAAGAAATCTAGACCGCAAAAAAATTAAACAAGCGAGTGCCTGTTTTTCCTGGCCAAGGTCAGGGTCCTTGAACACAACACGAGCCTAACGTGTCATCACGTGGTATATGTCTCGACGTCTCGACTGACAGGGGTGCAGTTCTGACGGGGAGCACCAGAACGCCACTCCAGCACTTCAGAAATTGCAGTACCGATAAGGAGCCGTACACATGCCGCAGTTTCTGCGTGGATGTGTCTTTAGTTGAAAGCCCAGTGGCGATCTGTTCATCTGTCATACTGATCATACAGTCAATAACTTTGTTGGTATTAGCATCTGGTTAGCTAGCTATGCTAACAAATATAAGAAGCTTTTCCTACAACCAGTGAGGTAAAGGCACATCTTTATGATCATCATAGTTATAAAAAATAAGAGAATAAAGTAAACAGGTATAAAATACTATATGACAGTAAAAAAAAGTTGTTATTAATAAAGAAGAATACAGTTTGAAAGGAGAGTGATTTGTCAAATATTCATAAAGAAAAATAAATCTGCTTCCAGTTCTGTTTCATCTGGGTGTTGAGAGATGTATCCATAGATCTCCTAATTTTGCTCTCAAAGTGCACCAGATTGATGCTTTTAACTTCAACATTTAAAAAAAAATCTTCCCGGGGGAGCATGCCCCCCGAACCCCCCTAGAGAGGGTTAGGTCCCCCCCCACTTAAATCATGTTCACATGGATAGGAAACTAAATACATTTGCACACATCTTGTGTCCATATCTTTCTGTTTGGGTGGTCACGCCACACCGTGCACGTGCATGAATACGCGAGTCATGGCAAGATATCTGGATTAAGAGGTTGCTTTTTCTTTGCACAGAATGAAATGAATGGGCTGTGATTTTTGTTTTTTTAAGCAGAGGTCAATAATTTGTACGGCCCTCTGAGGATATTGTAAAAATTGAAATGGCCCTTGAGAGGGAAAAGGTTCCCCACCCCTGGCCTAAGTGAATGTGTGTCAGTCTGAATTGACGCTGTTTGGTATCACAACGCTGTTATGAAAGTTTCTCTGGTATAAAATGGGTGATGTTAGCATAGCAACCGAAGCTAAACTGACTACTTGCTATTGCTATCCTATTGTGGCATAAACCGTTTTCTACAGGCACATTTTACCGGCGTATTTTTATTATGATTCTACTTGTGATAGTCGGACACGACAACCTGTGCAGCCCATGTATTGATTCCATCCGATAGCTGCTATAATACAAAACAACACGTCTGCCTCTCCACAATGATCAATAACAGTGAACGGATGGTCAAAGTAAGGTACAAATAAACAGAATCACACGAAGCCTGGTTAGTGTTGCCTGACTTTATAAAGTGTGTTTATAAGCACTACTGCTTGTAGGCAGGAATGACAGTCGACCCATGTTCAGGGGAGGAGGGTTTAGTTTCCTGCACGCCTCGACGTAAGAGAGACGTAAGCGACGCCACCTCTTAGCTCCGAAGCTCTTGCCTCTAGACCGACAATTTTTTGGAGCTGGAAGTGAACCCGATTCCGGAGCTAAGAGCCGGCGCCGCTGCGGTGTGAACAGGAAAAACCAGCGCTTTTCAGGCTCCAGCTCCGAGCCGGAACTGAAAAAGCCCTGGTGTGAAAGGGGCATAACACACTAACACCAAAAGCACAACAGGTCCTCTTTAAAGATTATGAGTAGAATTCATTATTCTGCGTGCGGGATTATTTTTCAGTGGTATTGCATTTTGGGATGATTTACAATATAAGAAGAATTTATCCTTTTAGCATAATTATACTTAAAGGTGGGGTAGGTCATTCACTTCACTTTTTGTTATATTCCATGGAATGCTCTTAACATCCCGATAGCAATGAATATATTAAATGCTTTGACAATAAATAGCCCGCGGCAGATAACTGGATGGCCTGTCAGCCTGTCAGCCTTCCATCTGTGCACAAACTTATCTCGTGCCCTCATTGGTCATGTGCGCGTTCGTGTGTGTTGGAGGAGGGGCTCTGTAAGGAAGTCTGAAGGAAGAGGCAGATTTTTTTCCATTGTGTACTTTCAAATTCTAGCGCACTAGAGTTGGTTTCTCCATTCTTACCTACCCTACCTTTAATATATGTATATCATCAATTTAGGGCTGTGCAATTTAATCGATCCTGCGATATATATCGATATTTAGTTTTCCGAGAAAGTATCGATATTTCAGCCGCGGGTATCGATACATTAAGTCTGATAACTGTGTTCGTTATTCTCGCGTCCAGGAGAGAAGCTTTAAAAAGGAGACTAATTGAGTCTCTGAGAAGGTTCAAATGTATACTTTAATTAATAAAAAGCGCGGTAATGTTACAAGCAGAAGATGGTTCAGTCAGAAAAACAGCTGTGTTCTGGCTCTCATGAGCGAAGGGAAGAGAGCGAGCTCCACCCTGTGGGCCGGTTGGCGCTGCTGGGGGCCGGCCCTCCACGTCTCCAATGTTCGTTGTTGCGCATTACAGAGGATTCAGACATAACTAAACACGCCTTTTCTCCTCCTTATCTCTTTCATGACTTTTCATTTAATACATTTTAAACGCTGTAATCAATACTCCAAAAATACCTCACGGCTGGTATCATTTCCGGTAGTTCCGGATGTTGTCTCATGCTACCCACGTCTGTAAACAAACGTATTCAAATAAACTGTACCTTCATTAAATATTCAGCAATAATAATATCTCGACGTCTATAGTTGTAGTGTTGAAATCAGTAGGTTTCGGTGTGCAACACTCCGTGTCATATCGCTACTAAATATATCTATAGTAAATGGTATATTAGCCACATGCTAAATGCTAACCGGAGATGAAGGATTTTCAGAATAAAAGCTTAACAACTGGTTGTGCACAAGAACTTCTGGTTTTTCAGTATAAAACAGCATTTAAACTGACGGTATGTTTAAGGTACTTTATGCCATCAAAACGAGTCCCATTCAAATCCCCCGGGTTCCGCCACCTGCTGCACCTTTTAATTACGTTACTTTTAATTACGTTTCAAAGGCTTGTAAGCTACAGTTTGCACTGTTTCAATAAATGAAACTAATTTTCTCACCACATCTTTTGATTCATTTTGTCCAGCATTTGCAAGCTGTAGACTCTCTGTCAGAGCCATATATTGTATAATTGATGCTTTCAGTTTTCAGTTGAATTAATTCAATCCAAGTCAATGGAACACTCACAAGATGTCACCAAAATCACACTGTCCCTTTAAAATCTTTCAGAAAATGATATAAGTGTATCGAATTATATCGAATCGTATCGTTGGCTGAATATCGTGATATATATCGTATTGTGAGCTGAATATCGTGTATCGTATCATGAGATAAGTGTATCGCTACAGCTCTAATCATCATGGTGTGATTTGTAACGAGGACTTTTACCAAACAAATGTGTTTGTTAAGTTTGTAGAATACGATTTGTAGGGCAGGAGATCTCTGCAGCTCAACAGCTATTTTTAGTTTGAACAACTATTTAGCCTTTTACAAACACGGTGCTTCCCTTCCAAGGATTTGAATATAGCTGCACTAGTACAATTGAGCATCCCTAATGTTCCCAACAACAACAGTTATCAGTACTATCACTTCATGTTCAAGCAGCCAGACATGTTTTCCCTGACTCAATGAAAGATCAGGGATGCAATTTAAATATCCTTACACTCACAAGGCTCACTATTGATTTTTCTTATCAATAGTTTCCGGCAGTTGCCCACAGACGTAATGCTGTATCATGTCTCAGTTTCTTTGGGATTGGATCAAAGTCAGAGAGGGATAACAGCTCACATTGGTGGCACTAAATAAACCTGAAGGGACCGTATTCCTCTCTAGACGTGCTGCAGTGTAAACTCGTAAAGATGTGGAAACAATGAGATCGTAAAACCCTCTCTAGTCTCACCAGTTGTATCTCAGATTACCTGGAGTGAATCGCTAACTGCCAGTTTGACTCCAGCTCTTTGATAACCCCATTATTGTTTT